AATAAATTTGTATTTTTTTAAGCTATCCATTCTGTAGTACTTTGTTATGGCAGTCCTTGCAAACCAGTACAAGTAGTTTACCACTTTCTGCTCTTGACCCTCTTGCCTGTGTTTTTGGAGACATAGATATTGTTTTAACTTCTTCTAATGGATTTAGCTGTGAATATGACATGACTGAGAATAGCTGACAAGTCCCAAGATTTTCATTTCTGTATTGCAGTGTTAGCTGAGTTGTTTGATACTGAGCGACCCTGTATATATATGTTGAAGTTTATCCTTGAATGGGAACAAAGAAAGGATGCTTATTGTAGTTACAGATAACAAGAAACTGGATAACACAGTCAACCAAAATCATCTTGATTAGTTGAATAAGGAGCTGAAATGAAGTAGAAGAAAATTCAAAAGAGATAAATACAAGTTGTTGAACTTGGATTTAAAACTGTCAGTTGCATAAGTGCAAGAAAGGAGACAATTGTTAAGAGCAGTGTGTATTCAAAGTTCATTATGAGCCAACCGCATGATGAGAAAGCTTCCAAATACCCTGTGCTTATAAACTATCATTTATTAATTCCTTATTCAGGGGTGCCTGGTAAGAAAATGAGTCTTAGAAAGCAGAAAGATTCCCATTGCTGGAGGTGTCCAAGTAATGACTGTGTGACCACTTATCAGGGGTGTGGTAGAGGATACTTAGTTAACTTGACACAATGGTGGTTGAAATTAAATTCACTCTATTTGTCCCTGAGGATTTGAAGATGCCCTGCCCCCACATAGTGCTGAGTTTTTGCTCTTGCTATCTTTAAAGTACATTACATAGGAAAACTGGGAGGAGGAAATAGAGATAGCCTTAATACTAAATTGTTTTTATCTCCATTTATTTACATCTTTCCTTGAGAGAAGTCATTTCTTCAAATGGGATTGGAAACTAATACTTCAAATGGTCTTTGTATTGAAAGTCTGTCCAGCTCTGCAGCTCCAGATATTGGTTGAATTTGATTTATTCTGTGGTTAGTATCTTAAATGGTGATATGTTGATCTTGGTTTCACCTCTTTTAAGATAACCAGAAACAGATTGATCAATAAAACATGTGTTTACCTGTGTAGACTTGTGAAATCTTATGCTGGGAAAAGTCCCCATTTTAATAAGCTTTAAACAAAAAATTCTACCTTAGGTGCTAATTAGAATCTAAATTCAGGTGTTAACCTCTTTGACTGAAAGTGCATGTTGAGTAATTGCAGGAAAGGGGCCAATTTCAGGCACAGCAGTAATTACTGAATTAGTAGAAAAGTTCAAGTAGGGCTTCAGATTTCAGATCATTATTGAGCTTTATGAGGAACAGCTAATCCTGGAGTGATTGGGCTTCTCACACCTGTGTGTGTGCGCGCTTGTTTGTGTGTGTGAGTATGAGTGAGCTGTAAAGGGAACTCCACTAAAATTTCAAAGAAATAATCTTACAAATGACCACAGAATTAGTTACTAACATTTCTTGTTATTTAAAAATACAATTTGAAAGACCTCTGAATGGACTATTACTGCTCTTCCCCATTGCCTCAAAAGGAAAAAAATTAGAATCTGATTTATATGATGAAATGCCTTCTGTCTTAAAATATAGTCTCTTGCATTACTTACTTCCTTCATGTCTTGGAAATTAGTTTTTAATTTCTAGTTAATATCCATTTCTGATACATACTCGACATTTAGGACCTCATTGAATTTGGTTGTTTTTCAGGGTTAACTAAACCCTCAAACCTACCAGAGAAATGCTTTCCTATGATGTTAAAGAAGAAAACATACAGACACTACAGTTGCCTTGTTTGTTGGTACATAGTATGCTCTTCAATCATGATGTATGGTACATAGTATGCTCTTCAATCATTATCTTCCATCTCCAAACAAATCTAATAAACCAAAGAAAAAGCAAGACCCATAGAGACAAAAACAAACCCAAATCTTCTGGACAAAAGTAGCTTATGTCCTTCTTCACTATGGTGACTATTTCTTTACCTCTGAGTGTAATTACTAGAGTTGCTCTGACTTATAATGTGCTAATGGTTTGTAGTCTTTTTTTTTTTTTAGTTATTTTGTTATTTTTTACATCATTGTTGATTTTTAAACAATATTTGCTTTCCCCCAACCCCTCAGGTATAGTCCCCACAGAGTTTCCTTCATCAATGCACCCGTGCACCATCACCTCAGTCCCCTGTGCTCCTCCCTCCCTCCCTCTGATCCCTCTCCCTCCTCCTCCCCTGCAGTATGTCTCTGATTTATTATTGTCTGTTTTTGCTTTGATGTGCTTTATACTGTTATTGTTTTTTTTACACTGATGTCTTTTTGGGTTCCCCTATATTCCTGCTATAAGTGAAAGCATCTGATATTTTTCTTTTTCTTTCTGGCTTATTTCACTGAGCATAATTCCTTCTAGCTCCATCCATGTTGCTGTGAATGGCATGAGTTTATCTTTTTTGATTGCTGAATAATATTCCATTGTGTATATATACTGATGAAAACAAAGGAGAGTAGTTTGTAGTTTTGCAAAGAGATTCTTGCTTATCCTAGGAACAATGATGAATTACTGATATATATTCACTGATCTCAAAAGTGAAACTGGGAATTTGCAGGAAATGACAAAACTGGTAATAGGCACTTTTTAAAGAGTTTTTCACATTGAGAATAGAATATATACCATCATTGAAGCACACACTACTTTCCAGAATTTTCATTGAAGAAACATGCAACAGGCTTCAAGCCCTAATGAAGAAGTCACAATCAAGTAAGTTACAAAAATGCATAGTTAAATAGAAATAACAAATAGAGAAGATATAATAAAACTGGAGAGAGGTAAATAAATTATGGAGAATCCATCTAGTGTGATACTTTGTACTCATTAAAAGGAATTATGCAGATTTGTATATACTGTTATGTAAAGAGCCTCAAGATATATTTTTAAGTTTTAAGAAAAAGCAGAATAATAGATATACAGTTAACTTATTTGTGCATTGTTTAAAAATGATATCTATAAATACATATGTACACTTGGATAGGCATATGATTTTTATAAATTTTATTTGAATTATGTACATAAATGGTTAATGTTACAAGATTGGAATAAGTGGTCTTGATATTTATTCCCAATTATACTGTTTTTTTACTGGGTTCTTTAGAATGTAACACTTCTTCCAAATCACGCAGGTATCTAGTCTCCATTCATCTTTAACACTAACCCTAATCTTCCTCTCATCTACTTACATCTTTCTTCTTATTTAATTGGGGGTGGTGTTTAAATTTTTTACTGAGGTAGCATTGTGTTACATTGCTCTTAGTATATTGGAAGTATGGGATCCCCCCTTTTCTGGTGTTGTTACCATAGTATACCCACCAACAAAACATCCATATGCGTTAGGGCCTCCCCTGGTGGCACAGTGGTTGAGCGCTGGGCTGCAAAGCTGCCCGCAGTCTCTGCAGTGCCGGTTGATCCCTAGCCACCAGCGAGGGTCACACGTGGCGCGCAGACCTCTCCTGCCATGCCCACTGCTCCCCTCAGCAGTGTATTTCGTCAGTCTGCCTGTTCTGTTCCCTGCTCTGGCTCTGGTGAATTCTCTCACCCTCTCGTGCTTCTGACTATACCCAGTGCTTGTATAAATAAATCTTTAACTAAAACCCAAAACATCCATATCACATCACCACAGTCCATTGTGCTCTCTCCCCATTTTGTTCTTGCCCCTACTCCTGCCCTCTGGACATCTCAGTTCTATAGTCAGCTTTAAAGGGTTAGTTTTTAAGTTTGACTTTGTCTGACCCCCTGTTTTCTCCATACGCCACTTATAAGTGACATCATCTGGTATTTGTCTTTCTCCTTTTGTCTCATTTCACTTAGCACAGGGATAGGCATATACAAAATTAATATCTTTTTTTTTTTTTTTTTTAAGATTCATTTATTTATTTTTTTTTTTTTAAAGATTTATTTATTTATACAAGCACTGGGTACAGTCAGAGCGCGGGAGGGTAAGAGAATTCACCAGAGCCAGAGCGGAGAGCAGAGCAGGCAGAAGGACCGAAGTACACTGCTGAGGGGAGCAGCGGGCGGCAGGAGAGGTCTGCGCGCCATGTGGGACCCTCCTCCGGTGGCCGGGGAGCAGCCGGGGATCGAACCAGCGCTGCAGAGGCTGCGGGCAGCTTCGCAACCCAGCGCTCAACCGCTGTGCCACCGGGGAGGCCCCAAAATTAATATCTTTTTGGCAACTTCTTTGTTTTTTGGTGCATCAAGGTGTTCCAAGATCATTTCATACATTTCCTACTTCAGACCTGGAATTGGGCTTTTCTCCAAAGAGCACGGGTCCACTTGGGTGGGCAGTGGTATTTAGAGAGCATGGTTTGGATGCTAGTGGTGCTTATCACTAGTGGGTTGGACACTTTTTTAGAAATTTTCAGTGAATAGATCGGGGAGCTGTATATCTAGATATAATTATCCATATCTATACATACACATAATAAAATACACAGGAGTTCTGATAATTCCAGTTCAGATTCAGATGTTTTTATTTCTTTGATCATACAATTCATCTTTTTATTGACACTGAAAATCCTAGTTCTCAAATATAACATTATTATACAATACTCTCAGAATGATAGTAACACCACCACCACCACTACTACTACTACTAATTATTGAAAATACTTAGAACTGGTGAAAACAGCTGCCCTTAGAGGATATCCTGGTAAAATCATACAATCACACAATATTCCATTTGGAATATTTCATCTTTGTGAGGTTATGCCATCAACTGGCTATACACTAAGGTTCACTTTGTTTTATTTTACTTCTGAAATTTTTTAACATTGTCTTAAAATTTAATCTTGTTTAGTGATCATACAGAATTTTAACTTGATTCCAAAGTAAATTTATGAAATATTATATATTCAAAAATGTCTGGCTTTTATGTCCCTGTTCCTGTTCCTATAGGTAATCTTTAAATATTCTTATGTAATGATTTGCTTTTCCTTCCTTGTTTTATTCCCTCTCTCTCTCTACCACCCTAGTGCAGGGGCCATGCTAACATTCTCTGTATCATTTCAAATTTAGTATCTGTGTTTCTGAAGTGAGTGCTTGTTTTATTCTGAATATAATCAAATGAGTAGCCTTAGAGAAATGACAGCATTTAGCTTAATAGCATACTGGAGATCACACCATGGTGGTAGGTAAAGATAGCCTTCATTTTTAAATTTTTTTTTTTGCACCTCATAAATTTTTGTCTTATCTGAAGTTAATAGTTCTCATTTCCCATTTACTTATGTCTGCTTAGTCTGGTTTATTTTCTAGGTATTTATCACCAATTTATGTTCACACACTCTCCAGATGTCTAAAATTTTATTAACATATTTAAGCACATTGGCTATTCAATCAAGTTCCTATTCTTGAATTTATTTTCCCAGCATCTGCTGCCTGCTAGCATAACTTTCCTGGCCTGCTGCACAACTGCATCCCACTCTTCACACACTCCCTTCACTTGTCATTATGGGAATTTTCCCCTTTTCATTGAATAAAATCACCTGCTTACTGGTTTTCCTGTCACATTTTTTTTCTTGCTTCCTCATGTTGATAAAGCAGAGTTAATAGTAATAATACCATGATAAGGTATTATCATGAAGTTCATAATAGAAGTTCATAACTTCTATTCACTCTGCTTCATTTACCATCATCAGAAGATGGGTTTATCACTAGAGATCATGGCAATGAGTTGGTGTTACCTAATATGCCCCACAATGTCCTTTCATATGGTTCTTAAATCATGTGATGTATAAATATTTTATAAACTGATCAGATTCTCTAGCCTTATTGAAGACCATGACTTAAAACTGTCTCCATGAAAATAACAAGAGAATCTTTTTCTCCAAGTTTTGATTGCTCTTGTGCCTATTGCAGAGCAGTTTCTGATATAACGCAAGCAAAACCTGTGACAGACTGAAAAGACTTGAAGACTGTTTTATGTACACAGTGGAATTATGAACTGTAGCCCAGACAAACCTTGGATATATTTGAAGATCTCAGAGTACGATTGTTTGCATCAGATTATGAGTGAGTTTTTTTATGAATGCATTTGTGAGATGATGAGAGTGCATGACAGGTGCGATATCTTGATGTAGCAGAGCATGGTACTCCTGGTAAAATAAAATTCTGAGGATGAGTTTAAAATAATGAGGTGTGTAAGCTATTTGTGTTCAAAGCAAGTAAACAAACTAACACTAACAAAATAATTTTTAAATAAGAGGTGTATGCATACCTGCATGAATGGATGCAGCAGGAAAAAGTAATCACTGGCAGGCTTTTGGTGATGTATTTCAGTAATGTGCAGGGTTTGTGGTTTATAACATCATCAGAGTCATACAATAGCATTATATCCCTGAGAGTTGTGCAGTTATCTCTCCCTTTCTCTTTCTTTTCTTTGCATATAATGGGGGATCTAAGCCTGGATCCATGCCCTACCCAGGACATTTCCTCTTTGTGGCATGTGAGCCGTTACCAATGCTAAGATTTACTGCTTTGGGGATCGGTTCAGAACAAATGTTCCAAACAGCCGTCTGCCTCGGGCAAGGTAATTTTGGACAAATTCAACAAGACTTCAAAGGAAGCCACCTACTACAATGCCTAAGGAGGATAAAGACCTGATTTAAATGAATGTATTGCAATTAGTGGGTATTTACTTTATATGTTGCCAAGTTCTGATAGCTCTCTCTAACCCTCAGGGAAATAATATATATGTCTAGTTCTGGTGAGCTGAAGAAACGGGATATGTTCTTCCCGGAGAGACAGGTGTTACGAACATGAACAGATCTAAAAGAGTGAAAAGACAAAACGTCTATGAAAGCTGGAGACAAAGAATAAATGCAATGTTTGTTTTGAAGCAAAAAAAATAAATAAAAAGCATGTGTACGTGGTAGTGTCCCAGCCGTCCCCTCCCTGAAAGTTAGATAAATCCTCTTCTGCAAATTTCTGTCTTATTTGAAAACAGCTTGTGTTCCAAATATTGATAAATTTGAAAAAGCCACTTATTGGTAAAGGAGTCTCAGACCACCAGGTGACTTAGGTACATCCTCAAGTACTAGAGGTTGACTATCTGGGTGGACTTCAATCAAATCAAGCCAGAAACAGACTAAAATGGAAATTGAATAGCCCAGCATTCTATTAATGTTCATAGCTTCATTCCAGATCTTGCACTTAACAGTGAGGTTTAATGCAAGAAATGTTGCAGAAAAAAAATCAGCACATTCTCTTACCATTTCTTATAGGAAGGATGAGTGTTGAATAAGTGGTCCCCAAATTTAGTCAAGTACAGACTTCCATTTGTGGCTGAGACATGGCAGAAGCTATGTGCAAATTACCCATTTTGAGGGCAGGAAGGACCACTGAATAGGTTTTCTGATCCAGCAGACCAGGTAAAGGAGGAGTCCTGGAGCCCTCAGTGGCTTTTGCAGGTCTTTTATTTAGATTTACCAGGCATATGGCAGGCAGGGATGCTGGGGGGCCGGGAGGCTGGCAGTCCTCCCAGCCCCCAGCAAATCCTCACTCTATCTGGGCTTTCTCCGGCCTTCTCTCTGCTTCTCTTCTTCTCTCGGCTTCTGTTTATTCTTGGCTTCTGCTGGCGTCACCGTGCTGCTGCCCTTATAAACTCAGTCTCTCAGCCCAGGTGGGCCCACTCCAGGTGCCCGCCATCAGGCATGTGTTCAGGACCACAGGGTTCCCTCATCTATCCTAATGGTGGGAGGCAGAAAAGCTTGATACTTTTACCTTACCCTACACCCATCTAACTTGTTTTTGCCTTGGAAATATTCCACAGGGAGGAAAGGCAAAAAACACTAACTCTGATCTCTATTGACGTATCTTTGGACAATATACAATTGAGTAAATAATCTCATTGAAAATTCTAATCCAAGACACAGATTTAAAAGCAGGTCTTCAATTAGAAGTCCATTGATTAATAAACTGCCTTCCTTGCTCAGCGTCTAAAACCTAATTTATCTATATAATTGCTGACCTTTTCATTGGAGCCATCATATACCTATTCCTATACCTATTCCTATATCTCTATCATGCATATCACTAACCTATTCCTGAAATTGGAACTGAAAAAAAAAAAAAAAAAAACTTGATGTTTACAATCTATCTGACAGATGAAAACACTCTCTGTAACTAACCTGTACAAAAATCTGTTCCAACATCCTTCTGATAATTTTACTATCATTTGTATCTGAAACATATATCTTGATATTTGCCATTAGATGTTCTGCAGACAGCTGAGTGCTTTATGGCTGGTGGCATATTTTCTACTTGATGCTATGCAGCATTCCCACTCTGGCAACTTTGCCACTGGCCCTATAGCTTGGAGATTTCTGAGGCTGTTGCTGTCTGCTTACTGGTGTTTTTTAGGAAGTGGAAAAAGAGAGAGAAACTTATCCAGGGGTGGGGAGTGAGATTTCTGACAGCAGGACTATTTGTTTTAATCAATCTTTAACATTTGGACATGCGCTAATGGTTGAAATGTAGGTGTCTTTTAGGTGTGTGGCCTGGCGTTCCTCTCCCCCGCTGTTTACTTTAGCAGCTTGTCTGTCTGAAAGTTATGATTCCACAAAGCCTCTTCAGGGTCTCCGAGCATGATACGGCATGCAGACTTCGAAAAACAGTCCCCAGGGCTCGCCCTGTAAGCTGCTGCAGGTAGAATCCTGGAGGTGAGGGAAGGTAAGTCTTCAAGGGAACAATGCGGAGGGGAGCAGGTGAATGCGGGCTGGCTTCACCTGGATGTCCTGAAATAATTAGGCAACTTCTATCCTAAAAGGCTTTCCTTTGGAAAGATAAAGGGAAATCTGGTGTTAAGTGACTGCTGTCACATTCTGAAGTGCTATGTTAGGCTAATTTTTCATTTCCTGGCCCTACCATTCTGCCACATCAGAATTTACTCTGCGTACCAAGTAGATCCAGTGGATTGGTAGTTTTTAAGTAAGAAAGCTTTCTAATTTTTAAAAACACATTAGCAAAGGAATTTATTTTCAGATAAGGTGAAGTGGCAGTGTAAACATAATAAACTAAAGGAAAGCAGCCTTTCAACTACACACACACAGACACACACAGACACACACACACAGAAACAAATAAGATATTTGAAATAATCAATTTCTTTAATCTGTTGGTACAACTTTGGCAAACAGGTTTCTGCTTTCATAATTTTTGAAACAACTACTTCTAACAAAATCTAAATCGTCTATTCCCACCCCCGTAGTCTATTTTTATCTTTTTTATTATATAAGTAATACACAAATACAGAAGTCCCCCCTTACCTGAGGTTTTACTTTCTATGGTTTCAGTTACCTGTGGTCAACCATGGTCAGAAAATCTTAGGTACAATATGATACTTTGAGAGGCCACACTGACATAACTTTTATTACAGTATTTCATTATATTGTTCTATTTTATTATTTTTGATAATCTACTCTGTCTAATTTATAAGTTAAACTTATCATTGCTGTGGTTGCCTAGAAAAAACAATACAGATAGGGTTTGGAATTATCCTTTGTTTCATGCATTCACTGTATATCTTGAAACATCCCTACAGATAAGGAAGGACTATTATATATCGTTGTGTGTAGGGTAAATGAAGATTGTTCAGGCTTTTGCGCCATTGGTCTTTGTGGCTATCACCTGTGGCCTTGATTGTGGGAGGTGCTTGGGAGAGGACTTGGGGCACGAATGCCTGATGGTGGAGTGGAGAATGGTGTGGGCCTGCGTAAGTGGGCACACCTGAGCTGAGAGAGTGTGCATAGAAGGGCAGCGTGGCAGAGGATGGAGGGCGGTAGAGGACCATGCATGGAGAGCAGTGGAGAATGGTTAGGAGAGGAAAGAGTATAGAGATTCACAGGGGGCCCAAGTTGCCGTTTTCCTTCTGGCTACCTGTGGGGATGATGCCAAGGGCTCGTTCTTTCAAGCTGCCTGAATCGACAATAAACCTACCCGGCCTGGGATGGTTGCAGAACATTATGATAAAAGGTAAGAGGATATTTCCATCCCTGTCCTTCCCAGTTAAGTGGCTAGTGTCAGAAGTTTGTTCTGTATCTTTA